GCGAACAGCATGTTTTCACATTCCCCCAGACTGAACAGGCATCGAGGGCTGGGCATAGGAGGCATTGCCTTCCAATCAGCAGCAATACTGTCCAGCTGCATATGATAGAATAGTTTTAAAATGACAAATAATTTCCCATAATACCTTACAATATGGTTTAAGTTCAGTTCAAAGACCCATGAAAAGACCATAAAGATTCCATGCTGGTCCTGGTCTAGCTAGTGGACCAGCATGATCCTCTTGGTGAAGACCATGGAGATCCCTTCTGGTAAAGCTAGTTTAAGAAAACTAGTGTGGTTACCATCACACCAGCACCTAGTTTTAAAGTCATTTTGTACCTGGTAGAAGTAGCACTGCAGAGGAGACTCTTTGCTGTCTTCATCGACAAACAGGCCACCGACGATAAAGAGCTGGTTCTTCTTGGTGCAGAGACTCACGTGGTTCTTCGGCAGCTGCTCTGCCATGGCAGCCAGAAAACACTCATTCTCGGCCACGTCGTACGCCACAGCGGCCGTGTCATTGATCATGAGGATCAGGTCTCGTCCGTACATCCCCAGTCTACGATTATCGTTCAAGTAACCCGGCAGCAGCTCCTCTTCCTCCTCTGCTCCAGCCTCTCCTTCCTTCTTCTCTTTGGGTTTCTTCTCGGGGAGTTTTCCTCCGAAGGCTTCTTTGATGACTTGCAGCTTCTTCAAGAGTTCTGGATCAGCCTTGATGATGTCATCGGTCTCAACTTTCTCCCGGAAGTACCTCTCGGGAAGGAGGCGGAAGCGGATGCACTCGAACGCTTCACCCAGACTCTTGGCGTGCTTGGCCTTGTCGCTGCGCACCCACTTCATCACCGACTCAAACACAACCTCCTCCTTCTCCACGTTAAGCGTGTCTCCACCAATCAGAGCCAAGAGCTCGTGAGGTGCCAGCTGAAGGAATTCGTCCTCAGCCGCCACGGTTTCGAATCGGTCAGCGATGAAATCGCGTGCCGCTATGGCGAGCCTGGGAACGCCGAGGACCAGGCCAAGCCTGAAGACGGCGAGACAATTAAACAGCGACAGCTTGTTCTGGAGATAGTTCACACATACTGTAAACACTGAGGGAATTTGGAATCGGTTCGCCACTGCAAAGATCTCCTGAACATTGTCATCTGTCAAATCGATCTCAGCGGAATACAGATACTGGATGATCATATCCATGATATTTGGATCAACGTCATCCAGAATCACTTCCTTGCCGCTTTCCTTCTCCTTGCCGTCTTCAGAGAAGAAGAGCTCTCTGAAGTAAGGACTACAGGCGGCCATGATCAGGCGGTGGCAGGGAAAGCAGCGGTCGCCGATTTTCAAAGTGCAGTCAACAAACTTGTTCTCGTTCAGAAGTTCCTTCAGTCCATCCTGAAGCAAGGTGCTCTGGAACAGCCGTAGCTCCTCCTTCATGGCTTTAGGATCCATGCTGTTGCGTTTCAAGATGGGAATTGACGGATAAGAGAAGAAAAATGGGAGAAGGTGGCTCCAGGTCTGCTCGCCACACCGGCCGGGCTGGAAAAGGACAGAGTGCTGAAAAGATTCCCAGAGTGAAGGGGCTGTTATTTAATCCTGCCATTCTAAATATAACCCTCCCGCTCTTGTCCACCCCCACTGCCTCTGTCATCCCTCAATCCTAGTTGTGAAGAAAGGAATCCCAGTGTGATGGCCATTCTAGACAGCAGCTGTCACAGGACACATAAAGCTCTGAGGAGACTCATGAGTCGGCAAGTTTTACCAATCCCAGACTATTCTTTTATACTTTGTCTGCAAGTTTTTATGCAAGTGTCTTTGACTTCAATTCCCCACATAAATGAAGGGTTCACTAGCAGTGTTTGGAGACAGCTGCGACTACAACAGGTGATGAGCCATTTTCAGCTGCCTCAAGCACTCGGGGCATTGAGTCAAACTTTATTATTCATGCATCAGATCCTGGGAGGAGACGAAACTCTTAGTGTAGCTGGTCATACTTGTGCACTCTCAAAAAATAGTGCAAAAGTTTGCCTTTAGGGACACAGCAGCTTCAAAGTCACCCTCGAAGGGACATCTTTGTACTTATTTTACCCATACTAAGGTACTAATATGCACCTTTTAGGGGTAGATAAGGTGCAAAGTTGACCTTTTAAAGATACTACACCAGATGTACCTCTAAAGGTACAATTTTTGCACATTCTTCTGACTGTGTGGAAAACACAGCTAAAAATCAAAAACCTCAAATGTACAAATTATATCAAAGATTATTACTTCCTGGTTAAACAGCATTCGGGGTCATTATAAATACAATTCAGACTAATAATTTGAGCGTCAGTAGTGCTATTCAAAAGAGTGTATTGACCATCACGAATATGCAGGATTTCATGTTCTCCCTAGCAAATGGTTCTAGAATGATCTCAGGGCTCAGAGGAGAGCGCCAGTCACACTAGACAGTAATACTAAAATTAAAGCAGGCAGGAAGGTGTTGGTGGAAGGAGAAATGTGCAATTTAAGTCAAAGCATAAGGGATAGATGTGTGAGACTGTTAAAGAGGAAGCATGAGGAGGTATTAATGACAAGCACGAGTGAAAAACATACCAGTTTAATTGATAGAGGTTAGCTGAGGTTTATTCAGCATTTAGGTTTTTATTTTGGATGCTGTTTTCTCAGAAGTTTGGGGTTGATTAAATTGGAGCCCTACTATATTTAAACAAATCAAGGTATTTCATGCAGTAATTAAAGTTTTTTATATATTTTTTGCCCCCCATACTGGTGTAAAATTTGACCTTTTACTTATAAGTAATAAGTAATTGGTAACATTAACAAAAATGGCACGATGCAGGTCATGCACTTCCTGGACTGCCATTGAGATGAATGGGAATGCGACCTCATTAGTTTAGTTTAGTTAGTTTAGTTTTATTGATTTATATAGCACATTTAATAACGACAGTGTCGACCAAAGTGCTGTACAAAATTAAAAATAAAATACATAAAACAACTAACCATATAAAACAAATCACAAATTATGACAAAGATAACATCACACATTATCAAATATTTGACAGCATTTACTCCAGACCATAAGCCGTTTCAAAAAGATAAGTCTTAAGTGAAGATTTAAAAACCTGAAAAGAGGAGGCTGATCTTATATACAATGGTAAATTGTTCCACAGCTTTGGTGCTGCCACCGAAAAGCACAATCCCCCTTAAGTTTCAGGCTTCATTTCATAGGTACCGATAACAAAAAAGAATTTGATGACCTTAAAGGCCTGTTAGTCACATAAAAAATCATAGCTAAAGGAAGGAGATAAAAGGAAAACAAAACGGGGCCTAACACCGAACCCTGTGGTACCCCACATGTACATGCAGCATTAACAGAGGTAAAATTCTCAATAGCTACAGAGAAAGATCTCCCCTTATGACCGGCCGCAGCATTTTGGACCATCTGGAGATGAGATAAACAAGACTGAGCAATTCCTAAATACAAAGAATTACAATAATCCAATCTTGTTGAAATAAATGCATGGATAATAGTCTCCAGAACCTCAATAAAATAGAATGGTCGATAGTGTCAAAAGCCGAGCTTAGATCCAGAAGGACCAAAACCCCACATTTCCCAGAGTCGACAGCTAATAGCAAATCGTTTAACACGTTCAAAAGAGCAGTTTCTGTACTATACTGAGCTCTGAACCCAGACTGAAATTTGTCCAGTATATCACTATTCTTTAAGAAGGAGGAAAGCTGATGAAAAACAACCTTCTCCAATACCTTTAAAAGGAAAGGAAGTTTTGATATAGGTCGGTAATTGACTAGGACCTGTGGATCAAGGGTAGGCTTTTTAAGTACAGGGTGTATCACTGCATGTTTAAAACAGGATGGAACATGACCATTATTAAGACTACTATTAATAATAAACTGAATATATGGACCAGTGCTATCTAACACTTCCATAGTTAAAAATGTGGGAATAGGATCCAGAGAGCAGGATACAGGTTTCATGGACAGATAATGTCCATTAAAGAAGAAATAGACACAGGCTCAAAACGAGATAATATAGCAGAATTGCAATAATCATCAAAAGAGACATTCCCAGAGTGCACAATATTAGAGCGAATATTTTGGATCTTATTAATAAAAAAACTCTAAAAAATCATTACAAATTAAAGGAGATGCACCAGAAAATGAAATTGTAACAGGATTTAAAACCCTACTGATAGTACTAAATAAAATTTTAGGTCTGCCAGCATTGCTAGAGATAAGGTTAGAATAATATAATGACCTAGCATTCATAACAAATTTCTGGTAAGTAATTAAACAATCCCTCAATTTCATAGGAAACTTGCAATTTGTCACTTTTCCATTTTCTCTCAGCTTGCCTAAATTTCCTTCTTAAAACTCTAGCTTCACCATTTAGCCAGGGCTGACTTCTCGCTTTAGGATATTTCAATTTCAGTGGAGCAAAAGAATCCAAAATATTTGCACAGGTGTTATTAAAACTTGAGATAAAACTCTTCAAGGTCCATGTCAGAAGAAAATGATTCTAAGGAAACAGCAAATTCAGAGGAGACAAAAGCATCAGCAAATCGTATAGGTGTAAATGAATTAAGTGAACGAGTATAATAACCAGTAAGAGGTTGTTTCACAGGCCTGGATAATACGGTTTTAAAAATTATCGGCTTATGATCAGAAAAATATGAATCCTCAATCTGAGTAATCTGTAGCGAAAATCCAAAAAACAAAATTAGATCAAGACCTTTATCATGGGTAGCACCCAAGACAGACTGAGAAAGATTAAATGAATCAACAATTTGCAAAAATTTGCTCTGGTTATAGTATAACTCTACTATAACCAGCACAAATCCATCTTGAGCTGAACATATGATGATTTAGTGAACATGAGATTACAGAACATCTGGATTTGTTGACAGCGTAACAGCCAGGCCATTTATCAAAGTACAAAATATTTTATTACAAAAAGTACAAGATACAAAATGACAAGCTTTATTACACTGATACTGACAACATTAGTTCTCAAAATCAAGATTACATTTCATTTATTACATTAATGCCAATTCAAGAATGTTGTGTAACTATGAGTGTACAATATTACAGTATTGCTTCTTCACAGTTCTGCAGGTTGTGATATGAAAAGTACTGTGCTTCATCAACTAGCTACTCTCAATGAAATCTCCTGTCCAACCAATTTTTCATATACTTTGTGTATTTCAGTGCAGGTCCATCGTATTGGAGTGTGAGGAATTACAGACAAAGGGAAAAGTATCCGTAATGGATATCAGCCTCCTAAATGCAAAGAAAGGAATGAAGAATGTGACTATATGGAAGGAACTGGTGTCCATTTTCATTTACTAAAGAAAAGTTTAATTCAAGTGTGTATTTTACCTGCTCTCACAGCAACACATGTCTTTTTGCACTCTTCTTCTGTGTCAAAGCGGTTACGGTTCCCGTCACAGCCTCCGTACCAGAACTGAGCGCAGGCGTTGGCCTGCCGGTCGTAGTACCAGCGGATTTTATAGTCCCGACAAGGGCCCTGATCCAGGAGCAGCTCACAACGGGGGTCCAGAGATACAACTTCTGAACATAGATTTAAAAAAAAAAAAAAAAAGGTTTACAAGATTACATACTGTATATTTCATATCCTGTCTGGTGAACAAAATCTTCAGATATTTCACTAGGTTACTTGAATTTTCTTAATTATGTGAATCTTCAACTATAGATTTTTTTTTTTTGTTCATCAGACATTTCAATAAAAGACTGCTGATAATATAGGCAATTTGATGACAAGATGATCTGGAATGCATGTGGTATCACACATCCTGTGCATGCAGCAGACTTTGCACTTTTAAGTAAAAAAGATGCAAGTAAATGTCATAAAATGACTAAAATGCTTTATCTGTAGTCCTTTGTAATCATTTTCTAATGATGCCCCCCACAGTATACAGTATAACCAATAAAAAATCTAATAATAAAAATATACAAAATATTACGGAAAAAGATGATCAGTTAATGGACTTACAAGACTGTGGGATGGATAAATTTTTTTTCTTGTAGGCCTATTTTTCTTTTATGTACTGTATGTAACACTTATTCATGATAAACTTAATTCAAATGCTAACTATATCGCGTGTAATGCAGTCCGGTAGCCTAGGCCTCTTAATATAATTAATATAATAATTTAATAATGTTTTAATTTCTATAATATAATCATTTCTTAATTCAAAATAAAATATTAATAAATCCATCTCTGATAATATCAGGTTGCTATGGTCACGCAGGTTTGTTTACGCATTAAATTCATGGTCGTTCCCTCAACATAGGATCTCGAGGCCACGACATAAGAATGTCATTGCCTTGACAACATTATCTCATCGCCACGTCATTTTATCACGTACCCACGAGTTAAAGGGGTCATATGATGCGATTTCAAGTTTTCCTTTCTCTTTGGAGTGTTACAAGCTGATTGTGCATAGATAAGATCCCTGAAGTTGCAAAGACTAAAGTCTCAAAACCAAAGAGATATTCGTTCCCCGAAAATGTCCCCTCTCGGTCGCTGTAGTTCCCTTTCAGTCGGTCACTCTCGATGTCACGTCGGTATTGACCGAAGAATTGGGATCTCGCTTAGAGAGACCAATCTACTTCGAGTGTAACTAAACGAGCCAATGCACATTGGCATGCGATGATTGCATCCAGCTGCCGCTGACCGCATCGCGAGTATAATTAGGCAGCAGGTGCAATGCATACTCAGCTTTTCGCTTCGGAGCCGAGCGATCACATCGTTCTGCTCCCGACTACTCTACTGAGAGAAGACTGAACAAGTTCAGCTAGCTTTTTGGAGCTCTTGGTGTTGGCGGTACGGCGCTTCAGCGGTGGTGGTTTCCCGTGTCGAGTAGGTTGCACACAATAGGCTGCACTACCCCCTGTTTGTGTTACAGGCGGCCATCTCCCCTGTGCGCTTCAGCACGCTAAAAGAGCTTTTTCCCT